GGACTCTGGGTGTGAGCCCTAGGTTAGCACATTTGCAGTGTGGATGCAAGTGGGGTTTGGCTTGAGCCTGGACTCAGACCCAGGCTTTACACTACTATGTAGATATATCCCTAGTGTCCATGTTTGTTCACGGTCAGGGCATACTTATTTGCTTTCTCAGGCTTTTCAAGATGGGATGATGTGAAGAATTGGGGATGTTTGGTTGAGGAATATTTTTGATGGGGCATTCTGAATCGTTAAGTGGATTATTTTTGAGCGCATAGTCCTTGAGCAATGAAGTATTTTGCATTATGGATTCTTATTTCATTTTTTGTATTTTAAAATATTTGCACACAGAGACCTAGAGCTTGGGTACTTTTTTGGTACATCAGCAGAAAAAAGAAATAATACCTATGGTATCCCTTTTTATTTACCCTCTTTTTCTTTTTCCTGCTCAACCAGAGTTTTGTCTGGAAATACTCATTGTAATTTGTAGAAAATTCCAGGCACATGGGAATATGAGGCGCCCTGGTCATCAATAAGACTTCACCACACTTGTGGGTTTTCTTTTTTCTGTTTTAGCACATTAAAACAATCCTCAGCCCCACAACTTATACCAGCAAGAGTAAATAATATATATAAATAATCTCACTGGGTTGAACACTATGAGAAATAGCTGAAAAAACAGAGGTCTGTGTTTGTTTTGTAGTACCCAAGTCTGGCTCAGCCATAAGTCTGGGCATGTTTTTTATTTTTTTAAATCGGTTATCTAAATAATATCTAGTTCTTACACAGCACTTCTCAACAGTAGAGCTCAAAGTGTTTTACAACAGGAGGTCAGTATAATTATCCCCATTTTTCAAGTGAGGAAACTGAGACACAGAGGGGTTGTGTTTGCCTAAGATCATGCAGCAGGATAGGACCCAGGTCACTTGAATGCCAGTCCGGCACTCTGCCTACTAGATCACTCTGCTTAGACAAACCAGGCAGAGAGTGAGGGGAAAAATATGCAACAAAGAAGAGAACAAAGCAATGTGGAAGTTCCATGTGTACTGTTTTAATAGATATGCTTTTTGGGTGGGTTTTCTAAATTTCATATGTTATGTTTAAATATGCACTATAGTGAAGGGGTGGGAGAGAAGGAGAGACAGCACTTCTGCCAAGTTTCACAATTTTATTGCTAAATTGATTAAAGCCCAAGCTCCTGGAGGCATGTGATAGTGTGAAAACATTAGCTTACTTTTTTTTTTTTTAATGAACATTTCTAGCCTCATGGTTGTGGAGAAAAGCCCATGACAATCTGAACTCTGAAGTTTCAAAAACCAGAAGGCAAAAAAAGACCGTCAAAATGTATTATCTTTTAAAAAATCCATGATCTTAATGCAATTTCCTGGTATTTTGAGTCTGGTTTATGACATTTGTATGGTTGGGGTTGGTAATACAGAGTCTGAAAGGAATTAGCTAAAAAAATCAGTCAGAGGGAGGAACGAAGATGGGGGACAAAGAATGGAAGAGACTGTGAGGATGAAGATTATTGGATCAAATAGTCAATCAGCACAGGGGAAACAATGTTTTCAGTAAAATGATGTAAAAACCTCTCATGATGTATACTGTAGATGGGCCCATAGAACAACTGAGGCACAAAGGAGAAATAGATGTGAAAAGTAGTGGTAAGGAGGAATATGAGGGACAATGGGTAAAACAAGCAGAGCAGTGGAGGAAGGGAGATGAGTGCCAACCTTCACCTCATAAGCACCACTGTAAATGATTACTTGCAGAAGGGTTCCCATAAAGTTACATGTTGGGGACCCAGTTACAGCATGATTTCATTTTATAATGTGATGAGAATACAGCAAAGTTGCAGAAAAAGTCTTGAGAAAATCATGTCCAACCAAGGCTGCTTTACCATGGTTTGGCAAGAGGCTTAGGAACCCCTGTATGTTGCAGAGTACAAGTGTTGTAACTAGATCAAAGGATAACTTGTACTAACCTAACCCTCAGAAACAGTTTAGAACAGGGGTCAGCAACCTTTCAGAAATGGTCTGCTGAGGTTTAACTTATTCATCTCTTTGTACAGGTCAGAGTGCTGGTGATACTTTTAAAAGTAAATACTAATTCTACTTACAGCAGCTTCATAAATAAATAAAGAAGCAGATCTTACTGTTTAGTGTGATTCTTGGCCTTGTTTTGCCTTGCTGAGTTCTCCCATCTTGGGCTTAGTTTGATACTTTAAGCAGCACACAGGCCTCTGAGTGTTCCGTCAGACACCCCAAATAAACTGTCCCCTACTTCCACCTCACCACACAGATGCCAGCACCCACCCCATGGAACCTGTTCCCCCCAGCCCATGTGGGGGCTGGGATAAAATCCTGCTTCTCGAAGTAGCAGGCACCAGCCATCTGTCCTGTCCGAACTCCCAGCTAAAGCACAAACTAATTATCCCCACCTTCCTGATCTCACAGCACAAACTACCTCCCTGCCTCCACCTTCACCCCATGCCAGCACCCACCCACCAACTCTTTTCCCCCACCCACCTCATGCAGTCACACACGGGCTGCCACTATCCCCTGCTGGCTTGCCTGGCTGCCTCTGCCCCACTACCACGGCTCCGGAGCAGCGACATAGCCCAAGCCCCTGCCACCAGAGTTTGCCCAGCTGAGCTCCCCCGCACCCAGCAGCAGCACACATGATTTCACCAGCTCACTGCTGCTTCCACCGGCTCACTTCTATAATGGAGTTGGGCAGGCGGAGAAGCATAAGAACACCGACTGCTGGCTGGCGCACAGCCCCATCTGCAGCCTTTTGCCCTCCCCCCAGAGCTGGTGCTGTGGCTGCACACTGGCCACTCCTACAGCCCAATCAGCAGCCTCTCCGCCTGCCCCCTGGAGCTGGTTCTGTGGCTGCGCACCAACCACCAGACTCAAGCGGCAGCACAAGCTCTTGCTGTGTGGGGGAGGAGGAATAGGCTTGAGCTCACACCCCATGTACCAGTAAAAAATTGGCTCGTGCCACCAGTGGCACACATGCCGAGGGTTGCTGACCCCTGGTTTAGAATGATAGACATGAATGATAGATATGCTCTATGAGTGGTCTGAACAGAGTCAGTTACATTTTTGCATGATAATTATTAGAAGGAAGGAATTTCAGCAGTAAAACCCAAGCAATCCAGTATTCATAAATGTAAAGCAACACAGCATTGCATTAGTTCAAGGAAACTGTGTTTGAAGAATACAGTTAGTTACTTTCGGAACCTTTGATTTATTTTGAATTCCAGTCTTTGTATCAAAAAGTATTCCATTTTGTGTGACGAGATCAAAATCTGGTGCTGGGCTGGCTAGCGAAATAAGGCACTCAGATTGCCGTTGCAAGTGGAGTGTCTGGTGCTACAACTGTAAGTGACACAAGAGAGTTGGGTGGTCTCTGGAAGAAGCCGTCCCCCAAGCCTCGTTGGCCTGAGAGAGATGCAATAGTGTCCTTGAAATTTGAAAATGAAGAGACTCATTAGATCATCTAATCAATTTCTCTGCTGGTAGAGGATTGTGCTGTACATATATTTTTCTAATGCTTTATCAAGGCCACTTTCTACATGTGATGGGTCTTCTGCTATTTCCCTGGCGAGACTATTTCCTAATTTACTCCAGTCTTTCTCTGCTCTTTAGTTTGGATAGTCTTTCTCAGGCATATTCATGGGATGAAATGCTTGCACTCTCATTCAGTCCAGGTCTACGCCTACCCCAAGATAGATGTTTCAGAGAGCAATCTTCCAGAGTTCGATTTAGTAGGTCTAGGAAGGATCTGCAAAATTGACCACTGATGATGCCCCCATCGATTTCATTACTCCACAGGATCATGAGGAGTAAAGGAAATTGACTGGAGAGTTTCTCTATTAACCTCTCATAGTGGGGACGCTACAGAAATTAAATTTACGATATGCAACTCTAGCTATAAGAACAGAGTAGCTGGAGTTGACGTACCTTAGGTTGATTTTCTTGCATAGTATAGACCTGGCCTCATACAGAATACATTCCCTTGCCCTACCCTGGTTAGCTGAGGGAGAGATTTAAATTCCTTCTCATCTGCCACTTATCCCAATCTTCCCTGCCATATCCAAATAGAGGTTTTGGGCTGCCAATAGAGGGGCTTGGAAACACTCACCTGCAGTGGGGGATGATATGCTGGATTTAACATAACTGTTGTTTCTGGCATGTGGAAAATTTGTGGTAAGGGACTCTAGAGGAAATTTAGGAGGGGAAAAAAATCTGCTGAGAGAATACAGAACGAAGCTTTTTGAAATAAACAAACAAACAAAAACCAACCCAATGAATCAAATGTGCATGGACATAGCCTAAGGCAAATTTTTCCAGAGAAAACACTAGAGCCATTCGCCCAATACAATAACTTGGGTGAGGGAGAATACTGATGAGAAAATGAACGCAGATGAGCAAAATAAAATATTAGGTGTCTTTTATGAAAATCCAACTGCAAATAATTTTAGCATTCTGTACATTTACTTAAAACGTTTAAGCCTTATAGCAGATTGTTCTTTTTTATATGTAAATATAAGGCCAATAAATAAAGCCCTAAGAGACAATACCGAATGTACCAAACATGACTCCTCCCAAATTTTAGGAATGTTTGCATCAAGCTCCACATGCCAACTTTAGAGTTGGAACCTATCTGTACTTCAGTTGCAGTGTTTGAAAAACCTCAAAGCATTTTTGATATTGCCGAAGTGCACAATAAGGGTTCCATCTGGGCTGTCCTGTTAGTTTTAGCTTATGTTGATTATCTATGAAAATATGGATGTCTCTTGTAATGCAAGTTTGTAGCAAGAAAATATATGCTTTTCATATGGAATCACAGTAACTATTTTTAAAAGTTAATCTTGAGTCTACTGACTATCCATCTCATACAAGTTACTACCTATGAACACACATTTTAAAATGTAAATGTTGCCTTCAACTTATTTCATTATGCAACAGATGTTTAGTGTAAACCCTCTTGTGGTTTTGTTTTTACAGTGATCCAGCTGCCAAAGCGCTCTGGGAGTCCTTAATGAATCTTAGACAAAAGGAAGCTGTGATGGAAGTTAGGAGACACCTGGTGGAGGCTGCAAGCCGAGAAAACTTGCCCATTAAGATGAGTATGGGTAAGCATTATGATAGACCCTTTATCACATAGCTATAATGCGGAATATTTCAGCATCCATACTTCCTTCAGTCTCAAGCATTTAAAGCAGTGGGGCCCAAACTTTTTTTCTCATATCCCCCCTTATCAATGGAATGTGTCCACACTTTCCTGGGTTGGGAATGGAACCCAAGGATTGTGGGGCTGGGAGCTGGGGACTGGTGGTCTTAAGGCCAGGAGTGAAGCCTGGGCTACAAGTGTGGCCGGGGCTGGAACTGAGGTGGGGGCAGAGCAGGGCTGAATGGTTCTCCATCCCTGCCCCCCCTTCCTGTGAGGATTGGCCTGGACCCCACTGCACCCTCCCAGACAGTTCTCCTTGCTCCCTCCTGCACCAGAAGTCATGCCCTGTGGTTTGAAGGTCACTGATTTAAAGGATTAATATTGTTCTTAAAATTGTTATCCTGCTGTATGAGAACGATTGATGCTTAAGCACGATGTAGTGGTGAAAAAAATTAGTTGCTTTGGGGTTTTTGTTTTGTTTTGTTTGTTTTTTTAAGATTCAAAAACCGATATATTGAGAGAGTTACGTGGAAAATGATAAATACACTGATGCAAATGCTTAATCTTACCTCTTGCCTTTCTACTATGAAGCATGACAATTTGGGGCATGTTTACAGAGAGTAGTCTGCTGAGATCCTGTTCTCAATACGCAAACAGCTAGCAGGAGAACTATTGGAATCTATGCTAATCTCTCTCTTTCTTTTAACTGAATGTTCTGTGTAGCAAGGCCACATCACAAAAATTGAAAACAATATTTAATAAGTCTTTAGAGTTGTAATCCTTAGAAATATGCTAGCTACAGGACATAGAGTTTTTGCAGCTTTTTTTAGTACATAATTCTCATTGGATCAAAACAAAAAAATGGAAATGAAAGAAGTTAATAGTTGGCCTACATACTTAAACAAGTTATGAAATACAAAAACGGAAGATTTTTGTGTTAGTATTAACTTACCCCTCTTATATATTCATTATGCACCTGATATACTTAAAGTATACATTAATAGACTATTAATCATTTATATTGAGAGGAAATGTTAATATGCAAATAGTAATGTTTTCTTTTAATGTGTAATTTCTGTTTAAATAACAGCCATAGCATTTTACTAACATACTTAGCTGTGTTTTATATTTCTTGTTTTCTTTTGTTCAAAAGAAACAAAAAAGAGGTTAGGGAAAAATAGAACAGGTGAAGATAGCAAGTGGAGAAGACTGACAAAGTCCTTTTCCAGTTCTTGGAGAAGCTAGGAAGCAATTAGAAAGGTTTTACATAAACCCCATCAATACTGAACCCAGGGATATATTTTAGGGAGGTTAAAGAAGACCTTCATGTCTTGAGGATTTCCTTAAAGATCTTGAAGATACGTAGGAGAAGCACCATTGGTAGCATTCTGAACCCTCCATAGGATTGGGGGTAGAAAGGGGGAATGGAAGGAAGGGCACTAAAATCTTCAGCCTATTTGCCCACCAGCCTAGGTGGGGAGCATTTGGAACCTAGATGGGGGTTTTGGGGAACAGCTTCAGTGCAGAGGACCAGAGAAAATATCAGATCCTAGATCAAGGAGGTGAAGAACTGTGATGGTCCCCAAATTTTCCCTGAGGCTGAAGAGAGAGTGGAATGAATGAAATATCTCCGGGCATCTCATCACTATATTAGACCCTAGTGATAAGACTATGAACAGACGTGTGTCTTTGCATGACTTCATGTTGTTGCTGGATGTTTCAGTTATGAGAGAGGACTCACCTGCTTTACCTTTTAAACAGATGTCAGAGGGGTAGTCGTGTTAGGCTGAATCTGCATAAACAACGAGAAGTCCTGTGGCACTTTACAGACTTAACAGATTTATTGGAGCATAAGCTTTCATGGGCAAAGACCCACTTCGTCAGATGTTACTCTTCTGTCAAAACAGTACATTGCAATTTGGGATGTTTTGAAAGTGGGAAGATGGCAAGTATGGTAGGGCTGTTGTAAGAAATCTACTTAGAAAAAAGGGCACAGTAAATTGAGAATATTTTCTTAAATAACCTCAGATGATGAGAGAGAGCCAGGATGACTTGTTCATTTTTGTGTGATACAAGGTATTGATTTTTATAACTGATCTAATTTTTGTTTTTCAAAGTGGTTTCTTTTGCATTTGAAACTCCATGATCCATTAGCAATCTTTGACACTTCGTATTGCTAATAAACCAATAACTTTGCCTTCATTCTGTGCTCCCTTCTCAATTCCCATTTTCTCAGATTAAATGTCTAGTGTCAGGTGAGCAGGAATTTCAGTGAGACTCTTGGCAAGGAAAAGCATTTTCTGGATTTAGGCCAAAGTAGTGCCACAACAGCTTTTCCTCCTGTAAGGGCTGGTATTAAGTGGGTTCTGTTGAGTTAATCTGTTGAGTCCATTTGCTTTTATTGCTTAGGGTTTTGTTTTTTGTTTTGGCAATGAGCGTGCATGAAATGCTATTCGTAATTGAAATGCTGTTTGAAGTACAGATATAAATTACTATTTGTATAAGTCTCATTTATTGTTTTAAACAGTGGATTCATCAGCTCACAACTGGAAGAGCAACAAAGAAAAGCTTTGGGCAGCTTTGCAAATGGAAAGAAAAGAGAAACAAGTAAAAGCTAGGCATGAAGGCAGAAGTGTATGTATGTGGGCATGGTTTTGTAGAAACCCTAGCTTTTCATTGGAAAGTGAAGGAAACAGTTCCAAATGTCAGGGACTAAAATTGTTCAATGAAGCATAACTATTGAAAGAAACTTTGAAACTGTACTATATCCTTAGAGTGTACAAGGCCAAATGTATCTATAGAATATTTTAAAACCCTTAAGGCAGTGAGAAATTAAGGTGCATGTAGCAAATCAGTTGCTTCCTTTACCTGGGACAAAACAATTCTAGCTACCTCTTTTCTGCCAGATGCCTTTATTTAGTCGAAAGGCCACCTACTTTCAATATGACTGAAATGTGGGGAAATGGAGGCCTAAGAGAAGATAGACGGGCTTTAAGTCTTCATCCTCTTTGTCAAAGTTGGACTCTGCAGATATTGGTATTTTCCAATGGATTCTGCACTGCCATCTGCTGTTTAGGAGTAGCACCTCAGTCTTGTCAATATTTAGTGGCATATCTTGAGAATTTTTATGCTCTGCCTCGTGAAATATCATAGATATCCTTTTCCAGCATGAAGATAAACTCTAACACTTTTACCTAAGTCAGTTGTCATAAGATGAAAACTTTTTATGCTTGACATAAGGAGTGAATACATTTGGAATCAAAGCTTTAAATTCCAGTTGGTAATTCTGAGACCTCCATGTTTGACATGGGCAGCATAGAAGGCCTGTATCAGATTATAAGCAGTTCTGTCATTCTTTAATATGGGTAGAGAAAATATCCTTAATCACTCACTGCAATGAATCAAATCACTTTCATGCCATTGTGTGTACATGGTTCATGTTTTCTTAGACCACCTTTTTTCCTTTCTTTGATTGGTCTTATGTAATGGCAGCAGAGCACCTGTCTTAGGAGCACTGCTTGTTCTGTGTTATACTGGGTATCCTGCAGAGTGATCAGCACCATTGTGGGGTTGCTGAAGAACCCATCAGCAATCCTGCCCTGGGGTAGGAGGCAAGTGAGAATTCTTATGAAAGTTGCCAGTGGAAGAAAGTTGTCATTGTAACTGTGCTTGCGCCTGCTGACAGTGTCATTTCCTTTACTCTTCAAGCTTCAAGGATGAACAGAGGGAAAGATTTCTGCATCACTGCCAGGAGAGAGAGAGGAGGGGGAACAGGAGCTCCTTACTCTTCAGCAGCCAAGAAGGGGTGTGTGAATGTGAGAGATGTCTGATCTCACAATTTGGGCACTGCCTTTGAATCTCACTGGTGCTGGCATCCATGACTGTGGTCAGCCTTCAATACTATGAAACTCCGAATTTAATTTTAATAGTTAAACCCCAGTGAAGTTTTAAGCATTAACAATGTCAATGAACAATAAAGATGAAGATTGGTTAGGAGAATCCCAGGAACCAACAGCACCATTTTCAGGCTATATATACATTACTATTCATAAACAAATGTAGAATTGTACTCATGCCTTATTAACCCCTACATATCCTCCTATTAAATGTCAGGTAAGCCCTTTCTTGTTAAACTTTCTTTGATGTTCAAAGCAAAGTTGAAGCCAAACTAATGTATTGGCTAGAATTACCTGTAATATATTTCTGCACCTCACCCAGGGATAAAGTGAAACCTTAGGTTTACTCCAGATATGACCCTGCACATCTACTGCTTATCAATTCCTTGGCATGGTAGAGACTTGGGCATTGGCAGACCTCAGTACCTGCTATTCTCTACAGTGCCTGCTAACCTCCTGTGGGCTGTAAAGCTTTGGTCTAGTTTCAGTTGTTTGCTTTATTGTGTGAGTGGTAGGTGGTGGTGGTGTCTGGTAATATTTGGGAGCTCAGACGAGATCCAGTAGCCCTCTTTGGCCCTAAACTCTGTTACTTTAAGTTTACATTTAAGTTTACATTTCTATCTCTGTTACTTTAAGTATTGGAGAACTTTGGAAGCTACTTTTCAGTTGCATGTATAATGTTCCAGTGCCCCCATATGATGTCATTTTCCAGCAAAAGCTCCGCCGCTTACAGGGGACTCGCTACTGTCTCTCCAAGCTTTCATTTAAAAATTCATCATAACTTTTACCTTCTGAACTCTCAAGACTGGACTGGACAGCTGGTGCCTTCCTATTAACGACTCAACCATGGTTCCTTTACAAACCCCTAATGGTGGGGAATAATGACTCTCCTATACAAACTGCCCCCAGGCTACAAATGAATGAATTACAGCAGTTTGTTAGTTGAAAGGAGTGGAAGGGTAGGTTAAATTATCCTCTGAACTCTACCACTTTAACAGGTTTTTAGGGACTAATGCTTTAGAGAAGTGGTGAGAAACCACTTTGAGGGCATAATGCTGAGCTGACT